AGCAGGGCAACTGACATGACACATGTTTCAGGGCTGCCTCTGCTCAGTAGCCTTATACAAAACCTGACACTGAGCCTGGCATGTGCATGTGTGTGTGTGTTATGTGTGTGTGTTTTGCTATGTGCAACCCAAGTTTTCCTGACTCTTGGGAAGACATGCTCAGCTGTACTGAGCTGCTTTGTCACGCTTCAAAACTCTCTTCCACCCTCCTGTTCTTTAGGCAAAAATATCCCTCTGCCTCCTTCAGGAGGTATATCAAGAGGAGAGATGAAAATATAATTAACAAATCTTTCACTCCACAAGTGCCAATTATGTGGGTTTTTTTCTCAGATGGTCTAAGTGATAAATATAGCTAGCTAAATTCAGAGTTACCAATTTCAACCTGTGTTTAGCACTGAAGTGGGCTGGTTCTATTTTCAGGATGAAGAAGAATTTGCGTGCCTGAAATCCCATCCAAGTTCTTTTAACTATAGCAGTCAGTCTAATAAAAGAGATTACCTCTTCCTACAGACCTTGCCTCACTTACATTCTTCAGGCACAGTGACTACAATAATGGTACTTCCTCATCTTTTCTGTTGCTTCTCTGCCACCTGCAGTGCGCAGCTTGAATGTACAAGACAGAAGAGTTGGGGAAGCACATGAAGCTATTTCCTGACTTTACAGTGTTTCATTTGCAAGCTCAAAGACCTTAGAAAAAGTTAGGCTGGAAGGGAGCTCAGCTTTGGAGCTTACCATGTCCAGCCCTATTCCATGCTGGGCTAAGAAATTTTGATTGGATGCTCAGGACCATATCCAGAAAAATTGCCAGTACTTCCAAGAATGGAAATTTCACAAACTTTTTGGGCATGTGACTTCAGTGCTGAACCGTTCTTGCTGTGAAGATGTTTTCCTTACATCCAACCTATTTTTCCCTTGTTGCAGTATCTGGCTATGGCCCCTTGCCCTTTCACCATGCACTTCTGAAAAAGAGAGACTTTCTTTACTACTCAATGAAGTGGGAGACTGCAGTTCATTTCTCGCCTCTCAGTAGTGGTCTAATCTCTGAGCTATACAAAAAAGTTCTTCCCACTGTTGCCTGTACTTCAGCCTCTCAGCAGTCTCAGTGTTTCTTTGCTGGACCTTCTATTTTGTCATAATCTTTCTTGTTCTACAGGGCCCAAAACTGGACATCATGTTCCAGGCATGGCCCAGCTAGTGCAAAGCAGGGGGAATAAGAGCTTTCCTTAGTCTGCTGGCCATGCACTTGCCTGTGTACCCTAGTATGGGATTAGCTGCTTCCACTGCAAGGCACACTGCGGTCTCTTGTGCAATTTGCCCAAAAGGATCTCTTGAGTACTGCAAAGCTGTTACCAACTCAGTTCTTCCCTAGCATTTAGTGTCCTGACCTCTTGTGCTTGTATTTGTTCTATGCAACACGCTATGTCTATGCAGACCTTGTTCCTCCTCAGAGAAGTTTTCTTTTTATTATAGACTATAGAGGTATGGTGGGATGGGTTTGTAGAAATAGACTACTCTTGCACTGGAGATAGTCTTAGAAGGGGAAGAGCCTGTGCTGCCCAGCATGTTGCCCAGTGCCTTTGAAAACTTTTGCTTTTTTAATGGTCTCTGAGTTATCATCAGAAATGATATTGACAGGATGCAGATGTAAGCCCCAGCAGAAAACTCAGGCCCTGAGGTGGTCGTCTTTCCTATCTGCTCATTGACAGAGTCACTAAGGAGCCAATATAGAGAAATCCTGATTAAGGAAACTATTTTAATCAATTTGCTTTCTTTTGCTTTATGTACATTATTTCATCTCCTGTCCACTTGGACCTTAAATCTTCAGCTTAAATGAAGCCTGAATTAAAGGCTGCTTTTGTGTAGAAGTTTTCAGACTACCATGTTTCACCCAGAGAGAAAATGAAAGGACAGCATCTGAGTATGAACTTACCCCAGCCCAACTCTAGACTTTCCTTCAGGGCCATCCCAGACTATATTCTAAATGGTAAAACACAATTAGTCCCGTTTTCTTCTGTATGCCTACCCAGCCTACTTCTAGAATAACTAAGATACCGCAATATGCGCGTTTCTGTGAAAAAAAATCACGGCGTTATTATCATTGTCATTTCCATCTCTCCAGTCAATCATAGTCAATCATAGTAACAATTAAATAGTTCTGGAATTAAAAGTGACATTTCAAAAGGAGACAGGTAAAAGTGGAGTGTCAAGGAGGGAAAATTAAATGGTTTCTTTCTCCCTTCCCCTTTGTATCATATTGTTGATGATAGAATAATATAGGTCTGCCATATTAGATAAGAGTTTATAAAATGTACTGTGCTATCTAAAACCTACCCATATCTGAACACTTCTCTCCAGTGGTCCTTCTTCTAACAAGTCAATCCCCCCTAAATTTATTGTTCCTTGGTATGTACATCAAGGCTCTGATTGTAACCCATTAAAATACATGCTTCAATTTAATATCCTGTATATTCTGTAGGTTATCATAATGTCTGGGATGATGGGTCAGGATTTGACCTTCTGACTGTCTTTCAGTTTTCCAGTCCGTTTTCCTGGGTAGCAAGAGCAGTTAGAGTCTGCTCTTGGTCACCTCAGGCTGCTCATTTGGAAACTGGGAAAACTGTGAAAAGCCAGACATAGTCTTTAACACTGGAGATTTTTTTTTTTTTTTTTTTAATACTTGAACTCCTAAAATTTTTCCAGCCTTGCTACAATCATGTTTTCTGCTGCATTTTCCTCTTTTAGTCTCTTCTTCAGGCTAAATTAAATTCTTACATCCACATACATTTTCTTCTCATTTATAGTTTTAACTCACTCTCTACTGGAATCCTCCAGTTATCCTAAATGTTTCCTGAAGATCAGTGCCTGAAACAAGGCATAACATTTGACTGAAGCCACTTCTGTGTTGGGAGCATGGACAGGAGCATTCAATTTTACTATTTGTGAAACACTGTTCTGTGTATCCCAAAGTGGCATTTGTCTTGTTCACCGTACTGGCACTGTTGATTTGTTCTGACCATGTCATTCACCATATTTCCTAGGTATTTTCTAAATAAGTTTCTACTGAGCCAGCTGCTGCAGGCCACTGGGAAGCTGCTTGTTTCTGCAGATATTGAAGTTCATCCAGCTGTTCTCAGAATTTTCCATTTTATCAAGAGCATTTTCAGTTCCAATCCTGTCTCTAAGAATATCTGCATCCCCTCTCTATTTCATGTCATCTTCAAAATTAACAAGCATACTGTGTATTCCATCATTCATAGTGTAAGCAAAAATACTGGGAAAACTAGATACATATTTGAGATAATTCTCCATATAAAATTGCTTGGTACTTTTTCCATTTGGACAGGGAATCATTATGACTACTCTTCAAATGTAGTTTTACAGAGTTCTTTATTGTTTTTATTTTGCACCCATGGTAGCCTATATCCATCTAGATGATTTCTTTTTGTTTTGCGTTCTCATAAGACTACTACACAAGAAATGCCAAAAGCCCAAGTAAAGTCAAAATATGCAACAGCTACTACTTCTCTCCTGCACTAATGCTCTTAAACCGTCTGTTATTCACCCCAGATTTTTTTTTTATTCTTTTTTTTTTTTTAAAATTGAAGGTGGAATTGGTGAGATTTTCTACTCACCTTTCTCCCTTCCTTACTTCTTTTACACACAGACTCTGTTCTTATGCTGTTCACATCATTGGTGGCTCACCTGTCTCCAGCCGTCCTTAAAAGTAATTGCTAACATGTCTGAGACTGTTTCAGGCAGTTTTTCCACATATTCTATAGGACTGTTCATCAGGTTTAGCCAAATTAGGACACATTACTTTGAGTGCTGCCTAATCTACTCATTCAGGCTCTTAGTTTTTTAACATTTATTTACCCTTCTCTTGTGGATGCTACCTATATCAGCCACCTACTAACAGTTTCAGTGATTAGTGAGGGAAAAGGAATTATTTGACATGCTTTAGAAAGGGACCAGCCTTAGACCCAGTGTAAATGAATGTGCAGAAGAGGCTGCACTCACAAGCAGAATTCATGGGGAAAAAATTCAGAGAGTGTGTTATCAAGGAGTGTGGGCAGAGGCTGAGCTTTGTGGGAACCCACAGGTGCCTCCAGGTCTATCTGATTATTTATATACTGCTGTGGTTAAGAAACATAGAATCCTTAAGGTTGGAAAAGATATTTAAGATCATCAAGTCAAACCATTAACCTAACACTTCTGTGTTCACCACTAAAACCATATCCCCAAGTGCCGCATACACACACTTCTTGAATGCTTTCAGGGATGGTGATTTCACCACTTCTCCAGACAGCCTATTCCAATTCCTGACCACTCTTTCAGTGAATAAATTTTTCCTAATATCCAACCTAACCCCACCCTGGCACAGGGCCATTTTCTTTTGTCCTTTCAGTTGTTACCTGGGAGAAGAGCCCAGTCCCCTCCTTATTGCAACCTCCTTTCAGGTAGTTGTAGGAAGCGAGAAGGTTTCCCCTGAACCTCCTTTTCTGGGCTAAGCAACCTCAGCTCCCTCAGCCACTTCTCATAAGACTTGTGCTCCAGACCCTTCAACACCTCCATTGTCCTTTTCTGGACATGATCCAGCACCTCAGTATCTTTCATATAATAAGGGGCCCAAAACTGAACATAGGACTTGAGGTGGAGTCTCAGAAATACCAAGTACAAGGGGATGATCACTGCCCTGGTCTTGCTGGCCATACTGTTCTTTGTACAGGCCAGGATGCTATTGGCTTTCTTGGCTGCATGGACACTTGCTCACATTCAGCCAGCTATCAACCAGAGAAGGTAGAAGAAGGTAGCATATTTTTGTAGGCCATATGCTTGTAAAATACTCTAAAAGTTCTAAATAGTTCTAAAAGTGGAATAGTTTTGTTCTGTGTTGAAAGATTTTTTTAATCTAAACTATTTCCCTTATAAAGTATATTTTGTGTTTACTCTTCTTTTTAAAGTGTGTGCTGCAACAATCCATTTCACCATAGACAGAAACTGTCAAGCAAGGAGCTTATCTCATTTCTTAGATAGCATGGAAACAGTCAACAGAACAAATGTTAAACTTTACACCTCTGGACACTTAAATCATAGCAAGCTTTATAAGCCTGCAGTGAAAATAAAACAGGGATGGTGGTACTCTGCCAGGCAACAAACTAGTTTCATAAGGGAAAGAAATCAATTCCCAGCTGAAAATGAGAGTGCAAGGAAGATGAAAAGATTTTCAGGTAACTTTTGTTCCAGCTTCCAACAAAGGCTGAATCTTCTTGCCCTCAAAACAGAAATCCACAGTCACCTGTGACTGGTGTTAGTGCCTCAGCAGATTTTTCTATCCCACTGGAATTGCTAAAGTTGAAAACATTTAAGAAGAAAGTAGAGGATGGAACTGACAGGCTCCATGAGAGTCATCAAAATGGATCAAGATGAGTTAGATGTGCCAGAGACTATGATGCTGAAAAAACAAACCAGTTGAGGACAGCTGACAGTGTGTTGTGGAGCTTGTCAAGGAGGAATACCAGTTCATACCTTCATACTTGGCTGGGGTAGGTAAAATGGAACAGTTTGACAAGTTCCTAGATTTCCAGAAGGAGTTCATAGCAAACCATGAACTGTTACAGAATGATTTAACAGGGAGCAAAGGATCAGAGCAGCATGAAAGTAAGATGGCTAAGGTAAGAAAAAAAGTCTGCAAGTGAATGGAAGGGTAAATTTTGCGTTATCTTTCTGGGTAGATTAATTGTGTGTTCCAGGAAAATGGAATGAGTTTAGGGAAAATCACCTCTCTCTTCTTCTCAGAGACAGTCCCTGGTGTTTGCTTAGGTGAGCACATATAAGACGCATCTTCTGTGTGTTCCAAAACACTGAGCCCAATGCTGTTATGCCACTGTTCACCCTTCCCTCCACTGTCATGTGGAAATGTTGATTTAAATACACAGTAAAACAAGATCTTGCATGCTAGTGATCTGTACAGGAAAAATCCCTGTTGGTCAGCATCTCTGTGGGAACTGCATATTCAGTGTGTTGTCCAGCAGCATGTTGAGATAATTTGTATAAGAAGTTGCCTTCTCTATGTGTGCTATAGACTCTCTCTTTACACACAGACAGTTGCTGCTGGCTCACCCCTTGTGATGGGTGGGATGGGGCATGAATTTGATCACTGAAGCACATACACTTCGTAGAAGCTACTTGTGTTTCTTGAGTTGCTGGCCCAGAGGAAGCTGAACAATATTAGCAACACTCATAGCCAAATGCAGGAGTGAGAGTAAGCTGCTGGATTCATAGAAAGTAGGGATGGAACTTAATGAAAGCATTTTGGTGTTGGTAAACTAAGAAATGATTAGGCTAGTGTGGGCTAGAAAAAACCTGATATTTCATGTATATGAGAGAAATTTTTAGAAGAACACTTTGTCCCTCACTGTGGTACTTATGGCTGCCAGATTTTCATTGTTTGTAAGACACCAACTCATTTATCAAGGGTGTTTTGCAGACAATTTAGCAAAGGTGTTTGCTGGACTGTGGCTGCTAACAGAGAAAACAGAGGTCAGGCTTGACTGAAACAGCCATCCCAGTAGGAGTCCTATGTATACCTGAAACTGGAAAAGAAATGATCAAGCAAATAAGCAGAGATTAGTCTTGTATACCTTCAACATACCTCAAGAAAAGTTATGCAAAATGAGGGAAGTGAGGCAACAAATTCATTCAATCTTTTTGTGGGTATAACTCTGGGAGAAGCAGCATAATCCATGTTCCCTTGAATTCTAGGAGATATCATCTGCCACACAGTTAACCATCTTACAAAAAAGGTTGTTTTGCTTCCCACCTTGGTAAATATTCTCAAGCAACCTTTCTCCTATGCCTCTGGGCTGAGAGGCCAGACTCAAGAGAAAGAAAGGATAGGGGAGAACAGAGGCGAAGTATAGTATTATATCAGGATAACAACTTGATCTTGTAACTTTTGAAGTATGTTTTCCCAGGAGACATTTTCCCCAGAAACAATTTGGATCAATAAAATTTTTGTGAGATAGTTAAACTCTAGCACAAAGCTTAGCAGTAAGCTGTACTAACTAGCAGTGATGGCAAACTTTGCCCTTTAATTAAATAGTTAATATTTCTACCAGCTTTGATTTGAAATAAAGATATTCACAAAGTAAAAACTGCCATAGTATATTATCTACCAAAAAGGGTTGTACTGAAAAAGCTAATCTTAGGAACAGAGCACTTTGAAGTGAGCCAGCAGCACCCTAGAGAAAAAGTTCCTGTGGTAGAGGAACCTAGCATAAGTTGCCTAAGAGACCCCTTCTTTCTCTCTCCCAGATTTATTACTCAGAGTTGATAATATATAACCATGAGATTTTTAATTGTATTATTTTAACTGTTGTGTTCCTTAGGTATGGGTTCTTGAGTTATTTATATTTTAATTATGTCTCTGAGCTAACAGTTACTTTAAGGAATGCAACGTGCTCCAAGAGCAGGTTCTTGTCAAACATGGAGATGGTCTGTTCAAGTCAGTAGAGATAGGCTTATTTATGATAATTGAGGGATTGGCTGTAAATATGTAAGCAAGATATTTAACAATTAATTGAAGCATAATTTAGTAACTGCCTTCTGCCGCACAAATCTGTCTTGTTTTCATCTAGTCTTTTTGATGATTAGTACATCTTGTCTTGTTGACTGTAGGCTTTCTTTTTACTGATTTTGTGCTATGACCATGACTTGGTCTGTATTTTCATATTTCTTGCTGCACACCATGAGGAGAAGTGGCATGAACTTGAACAAAGTGATGCATTCTGACAGTAACTGTTTTCGAGCATATTCTGCCTGCACAGGATTGTAGTCATTAATTTTGGTAATTGTACAGGAATGCCAGATAATATGTGCTTGTGATCCCCTCCATTTCAAGAGAGTACAGGTTGCCGAGGAAGCATTTGAAGATATATGAAGCAGGTCTCTGATACTATGTGATATTCTGAAGGAAATGAAGAAAGTAAATATTCCTACGCTTTAGCCCACCATAACCTAAATGTACCTTAACTATTGTTTTAAAAGTTTTATCCCACAATGCCTTTCACTATTTTTTTATCAGCGCATCTGGGACATTAAACCCTTTTTTATCTACAGTGAGGAAACTGATTCTCACAAGGATTTATATTCTTCAGGAGAGTATATTCTCTGTCCCTTGCTCACATGTTAAAATCATACATATCTAACAAATTTCATGGGCTTAGAGAATCTTTTTTTTTTTTTTTTTTAATTTAATCACTTTTGGTCTCAAAGGGAATTAATAATTTGTTCTTTATGCTTGCTCCTTCTCTCATTATACACAGGTAAGCAAACAGGAACAGAGAATAGAAGTGTTAAGAGATATCCTTCCTAGAAAGTTGATTTCCAGTCTGCTAAGTGATTTCAGCTGGCATAATTTCCTTCTATTACCTTCATCATGGTAATGGAGAAAGGAGAAATCATGAGGAATTTCACACCTCTGCAAATCATCTGCACATGCAAAGGCCATAAGTCTGGTAAAAATAGCACTGGGGAGAAAGGTGATTTGGAAATCACATTTAATGGTTCAGGGGCAGGCTGTGTTTTCAGTCATTACTTTCATTTATTCATTTAAATTAGGGTCACACGTGCCTGTGTTTTGTCTCCCTCAGTTTTTTTTTTTTAGCTGACCAGCAAGTTAAATTGCATGGCTACAAATGCCATATGACTTTGTCTTTAGGGCATTCCCAGTTCTGCTTCTGGCCCTATTAATGAAACAAGCCCTTGCGTATATCCCAGTGTTCCTACCATGACTTTATGCATTTTAATTAACCATATAGCAGCAAACCATCACTCTTTCTTCCTGTGGTGTTCCTCAGGTCACAAGACTGCAACATCACGTGCATACACTTACATTTGCGCTTGCTCAAATGTGCAAGAGCAGACAGCTTTTAAGAAAGATGGACAGTTCTTTCACAGGTTTTATCTAATGCGCTGTGGAAGTTACACAAACTGGATCTGAACATCTAGCTATAACTCAAGCACTTTGATTAAAGCATTATTAAACAAACAAACAAAACCCAAGCAAGAAAAACCCACAAACAAATCAAAACCCCCAAACCCCAGCCTTCACTAACTCTAGTCCTTAATTCTAAAGTCCTGAAAATATTTGGGAAAATAAAATCAGGTTGTAACCTACTGGTGAATTAATTTTCTACCTCTCACTTTGATAGTCACATGTGAGGAGTGATAATTCTTACCTGACTTACCAAGCAGGTCTGTTTTTTTTTTTCTTTTGATTTTTCACTATGCTGAAGGATAGCACTTGAAATCCTTTATTTGGAGACCAAATCTAGTTGTTTCTCCTTTGGGGCACTCAGGAGAGTGATTTCCACGTGGAACACAACTAAATTATTTAGCCAAAAGTTGCGCTCTGATTCTGTACACAATGATGTGATGGTAGTGATAACAGAAGTTCTGCATTGATTATCCGAGTGATAACTGAGGGGACAAAAAAGTAATTCCTCCATATCTGTTGACAAAATAATTGTACCTTTATAGGCAAGAGAAGGGAAAAGCAGACAGTCAAGAAATCCTTGAGAAAGAGGAGATAGTTGGGTAAGTGAACTGTGCTGAGAATGACATTGCAATAGTCAAAATCCAATTGATCACCTCTGGGTTTTTAACAAACCCACATGTGGGGGAATAAGCAAACCTTCTGTCACAACAAAAAAGGTATGATTTTTCTGGATCCAAACTGAAATAGGAGTCTGTAATCTGGGGATTATTAAATATTTTTGATGGTCTTCTTTCTATTAAAGTGAGTATGAGCTCTACATGATTATACTTCTGGACTCTCTGCCTATGGCACATTGCAAGATAGTATTTGTCGATATTAGCTCATTTCCTTGGTGATGTTACAGAGAAATTAAGTACTTAAAGTCAGATATGGGCACTCTCTGACCTTATCTTTGACACAGGAGATCTAGTGCTCTCTGTTTGCTTCATTGCTGACCACAATTTCTGTAGGAGCAGTGCACAGTAGAGAAATCTAAGACAGCAGCTCCATGCAGAATAAGCAGAGCATTGGCTGAATAGACTGTGCTGTACTTCAGAACTGCCAAACCTATTGTCCTTCTGTCTCCTCTTTGTTAAAGCCACATCAGGCTTTGTGCCAGCTCTACTGTAGAAATGCTGCTGAATAGATGCTGATATTTGCCTCAGGCTTCCGGGAATAGTGCCAAACACCCCTTTACCCTGCCTCTCTCACCAGTGACACTTTCCTTTGGGTAAAAGGCACCAGGAAAGGTGTCTTCTACTCTGGAAGTAGAAGGGGAGCACAGAGGAGATTTCAAGCCCTGAGGGCACAGCCATATCTGACTAGCCCTGCCCAGACCCCTGGAGTGTCTTCCCATCCTGCCCATGGCAGGAACCCATTTCAGTCCAGCCTGGACCTATAAGTCCCTGCCCATTTGTCTATCTGGTCCTTTTGTATTCTTTCTCTCTCTCTCTTTTTTTTTTTTCTTTCTTTTTTTTTACTTTCCCTACTCCTAAATTAGCCCCCTCTGCTTCTGATAGTTTTCAGGCCCATGTTCTCCATAGACAATACTTTGGATTTGCTCTGAGGATTTCACCCTAATTATCCTCTCTCTTTGTCACTAAGCCTGGGAGCACCTGTGTGATATTGACAATGTGTTGAAATGAAAACGAAAGGTAATGATGAACGTGGCACAGCTGACAGCATAAATGCTTTGTCTAGGTTGAGTAGCACACTGCTCAGTGGCAAAACACCTGAAAGAACTGCCCCAAACCAAGGAGTTTTCATGAGTCTGAGTCTTCATATTTACTGACTGACACATGCAGAGAATCGTCCATGCTTTTTTTGTTTTGTCTGTAACAAACCTTTAATCCATTTGCAAATGGAAAGAGCTTTAAGTGACTCTGAAATCTCCTATAGGGTTTTTTTTTTGTTTGTTTACATTAGCTCTTAGTCTTATCAACGGCTCATTCAGAAGTTTCTGTCAGAACTGAATGTTACTGAAAAGTCATTTTAAAAATGATGCCAGAACCTGGGTGAAAAAAAACAAACAAACAAACAAACAAAAAAAACCACCACAAAACTTCGTATTTTACTCTTTTTCATGCACTCATGGAATCTGAAGATTCAAGTCAAAGGGATGGAAACAAAGCCTTCAAGGGCTCCAGAAATACAGGCACTCAGGAAAGATGTGCAGGTTGTCATGCAGAAAGCCAGTACTGCTCTGGAAAGAGGCAAAGAGTAAGTGTTACAAATACTATCAACCTCTGCAGCAACAAAAAAATAGATGGGGTAGAGCAGAAACAAGTAAATAGAGTTACCTGATTTTTTGAATGTCAGGTCTTCAAGGGAATGCCAAAGGATTAGACCCTGTGGATGGCCTGGTTTAGGCAAATAATCATACTGGGAGAAGGGGTTAAACTCTGAGCAGGACCAAGACTTTCTTTTGCCATTCCCAGCTTACCATCACAGAGAATTCTCCTGACCACACAGGCTGCAACCTGCACTATTAAATTTCAGACTGTGTCACCTTTGTTGGAGTGTTGATTTTGTTCCTTACTGTGGAGGTAACAAAGCCTAATAAGCCTCCTAAGGCTCCCTGTGTTCTTTGGACTGACCCAGTGTTTCCATGCCACTGGTATGTGCCCCTAATATTTTATATCACAACTTCCAAATTTCCTTACTACTGCTCCAAGCTCTGATCTGACTTTCTAGCCTCATTATTTGACCCTTGATTATTTGATTGCTTAATTCTAGAACTCTAACCTTTTTGCTTGAAAGCTGTCCTAACAAGAGATCTTGCCACCAGCTTTTTTGCTCTTGCCCACTTCATTGTCTGGACCTGAAGGATTACCAAGTCACTCTTTCAGTAAGCTGCTGGTTCTCTTTTTCCCCTTCTCTTTTTTTCTTGTAAATGTGAATCTAGATGACTCAAGAGGTCTTTTATGTCTTTTCAATTGTTGTTTCCAGTGTATTTTGTGTGTACACTTTACAGTATTTACCCTGTGCTTTCAACATGTAGTTTGGATAATTCTACAGGTAAGATATTGGAACGTGAAAGGGCTTCATGTTCACTAGTTTTCATTAGTGTAAGTAGGAAGATGATTAACAGTGAACCAGTAATCTATATGTCTATATTTGTCTATAGAGAGAGAATTCATGATGTGTTAATGTGGGATAGTCAAACTGGCATGAATTTAAGATGGATCAGGAAATAGTGGGGGATATTTATAGAGTATGCACATGCAAATTTTATCAAGGCTATTCAGAGGTTGTTTTTTGTGCAAGCTTTTATAAATATTTTAGAGATAAAGGGGAATAATATGACATTTTGTCTTCTGCCAAAGTTCTGAAAAGAAATAATGATAAACATCCCAGAATTATCTAAAGGAGTTCTTGAGATTTGTCAGCTATAGGTATAAAAATCCAGTGCCCCATAAGACTGTTCAGTTCTGAATAGCAGTCAGTTTCCAGCAAAGTCTAGGAACATGTGCTAATGTCAACTCACTAGCTTTGCATGAAAACTAATAATGAAAATTTAAGTAATTAGTGGCTCCCTAGAGCCTAAGACTGAGTCTTTCCTCTTGCCATAGATCATGTGTAGTCCTTTCTATGTATAGCAAACCCATCCTGGGAGGGTAGGTAGAGGAACAGATTTTCATACAAGACTTATGTCTTTTTAAAAATAATATTGGTTAGTAGATGTTAGAATATCTTGAAGGATTTTTGAATACTGATGATGGTGGAGGAAGTAAGAACACAGAAAAATATGCAGAGAACTAAGCTGTCTACTTATGTTATTGTGATACCTATGTTTCTTGCTAGATATGTAAGTAATAATGCGTAAATTCTTCAGTAGTTTCATTCAGAGAACAAGAAGTTTCTGCTTAGGAGAGGAAGCTGCAGTTTTAATGCAGTAGAGAGTGATTGTTCAAATCCTGTTAGGTCCTGACAGAGGACCTAACCAATTTTCTCCTTTTCATCACTGGGCATTCAAACCTGGAGTCACTTTGCTGTAATTCAGTGAGCTTCAGTTTCCTCTCTGCCCTGTTAGAACATTTGACCTCTGGGAATGTGTAATAATCTTCATTATATATAACAGCTATTTACTTACATGTACCTTTGTATATGACCTTGAAAAGATACTTGTGAAACTGTTCTGTTTTGTTTTAGCCTAAACTGAAGAAGAATAAATTAGAAACAGTGCTACAGATGATCCAGACTCCAGAAGATAAAACAGGTGAGTGATAGGACAGTTTTGAGTTGAGTAGAAAGGAGATATGGCATAAATTATGGCAATAAGGTGTTCTAAAGAGTTAAAAGAAAAACCAATCAAAAATTACCTTAGCTGTTGGGATTTTTTTTTGTTAGTGTGATCAAAATATGTTGACATCTAATGAAATAAGGTACATAAAATCTTTCCTATACTTCTTTCACTCCAGACCCTATCTGAAACCAGTAGGTGTCAGTGGGACACTTTCTAAAGTGTTAGAGATGTTTCAGGGGATGGTACATGAAACCCTTCATCTGGCAGAAACATAATAACTGGATTTTATGCTTATGATGAGGAGGTTAAGCCCTGAATCACGTGCTTTCACAGGCCCTTCCTAAGCCTCTTTTCAGCCTTCACTGTATCAATTCTGAATGCTCTCGTTATCCATACAATAGTCAAGTCCCTATTGAATGCTTGCTCAGTGCTTTGGTTCAGTAACAGCACTGAAGTTTACAGTCTATTTCTGTACTGCTTAAGAAAGTAGTGTCTTTTGATAAGGCCTTTGATCAGTGGAATTTGAATCAGGATCTTTGAGTAAGATAAAATACATAAACTGGAAAAGTTGTGGAAGAGAAAAATAAAAAAGCTGATTGATTGATGAACTAAGAAATACTGTGAAATGTCATCAGTATAAAGTATAACTTGTCTGACTGTAGTACACCTGCATTTTATGACTTCATTGAAAACCTGTTCTGAAAGCGCAGTTTTCTTCCAGACCATGAGAACCTACTGGTTAACAAATTATAATGTGCTAAATTAGGAAATAACTGTCCAAGTGGTGAACTTTCTACATTCTACATTCTCCTCTTTAAGAAAAGAGGAACATCCAAATCTTTCTGTGAAATGTTTTAGGGTTTTAGTGTCCTACTCCAGGCTCTGGGTGGTTGTTAGCTTCATCATGGGCAGCTCCTAGCACTGGCACCTAATTCACTTTTGCAAACATACCTTCTGTAGGAGCAATGCTTAAACACTCAAACAGTGGTTCTGGGCTTTTTTTTTTTTTTTTTTTCCCAGCAATTAAACTGGCACAAATTCCTCTGTAGTGTAGCTGTCTTCCTATCAATGAACCTCTGAATGCAGCTGCTCTGATTATTTTTTCTTCTACAGCATGGAACAAATTTTGAATTCCATTGCTTTGCAGTCAATCGCTAAAAAAACCATGAAATCAGTCTTTGGCTCTGGATCTCCCACAGGACTAGTGAACAAAACAAACAGAACTCTCCAGGCCAAGGCATATCTAAGAAATGGTTTTGCATAAAATGAGCTAAAAAATATTTAAACAATAGGTAAAGGTTTCTTGGCTCCTCCTCCTTACCAGGTACTAATATAAGAAGTACTAACTCAGCTTCAAACTTCCCCTTCCTACCTTCCTCAATTAGTCACTGACGAATCAAAACCAACCAAGTCAGAAAGAGGTAAATATTGCTGTTCTTCTTTTTTTTTACAGCTGTATTTAGATGCCTAAGCCAAGAAATTTGGACTAAATATGCTAACACGTGCTGCCACTATAGGGAATGAAGTTCTACAAATATAATTTGCCTTTTTGTGTGTGTGTGTGGTTTTTTGTTTTGTTTTGTTTTGTTTGCTTGTTTCTGGTTTTGGTTTTTTTTTGGTTGGTTGGTGACTGAGGTTTTTTTTTTTTCTTTTAAATTAAATTTTAAATTAAAAAAGTGTTCAACCCAAGTCAGCCTGAAATGAGAATTTTATAATTTTCCCAAAGGAAAAATGGAGATCTGATATTTTAAAAAATTGAATAAAAATTTTTCCTAATATTTTCTAAAACAGAAGGCATTATTTTCTTCTCTTCAGATAACATTTCTGTAAGGCCCTTCCAGGACCAGTAGTTTACCTTAATCCACTGAGTAAGGATATGCTCTCTATTGTTTATAGTGGTTCACACAAAAATACAGGATTTTTGAGAAGCCAGCAGCCATTACCTCTGGGACAGGGAGGGGCAGGAAGCATGACCAGGCCCTTTTCCCACATGAGGCAGTGTATCACTCAAATCTAGCTCATGCTCTCTTCCTCCAGCCTGGCTCACTTTTCATTGAAGCTGTTGGCTCCCACTGACCTTTTGACTGTGTGCTGACACTGCATCACAGACCAGAGGGAGGAAGAGCAGGGCTGACTGCCCACGACAAGCTGCTTGGAGAGTAGGAAATTTAGGTGCCCTGGGATCACAACAGGCAGTCTTTAATTGCTGTAACGCCATTATTACTCAACACAGTGCCTAGTCCTGAATTTGACAGCATGGCACAAAGCTGTTGCATTGCAGACGTGGCTAATGAACTACTGCAAGCTCTGAAAAGCCCTCCCAGTTCCAGGGCAGCCCCTGAGTCAACAGGATTTTTTTGACCTGCTCATGACAGCAGTCAGACAAGCCAGGGAGTACCATTAGGGGCTCTCACAAGGCAAAGAAAGGCTAGTTCTTCCTTTCTGTGTTCTCACTCCCTTCACTGGTGACTTTCCTCCCTTTTTCCTTCCCCTCTGCAATCGTGGAGCCTTGGAGGTGTAATTCTGCACTTTGTCATCTTACCTGGGTATTCCATTCTCCCTTATATACTAACACCAAGAGGTGAACCAAGAGGTGTGGGAGACAGATAGAATGATTTTCATCTGCACCATCACCAGGGAGGAAAGTAGTTTATTTGTATGATTGCAGACCACTGGAGTGAAGGGCACTAATAGTGTGTGCACGTAGTTCCCCTCATTCCCTAGATGAGGACCTGGAAAGGGCCTGTAATACAGCTCTGGCTGCAGCAGCATGAACACCAGCAAGCTGCAGACAAGCTTGCTGACAAGCTGTGAAAAGCTGAAAAGGTCTTTGACTCGAATGAGATCCTGGCTGGACAGGAGCATGAGCTGGATGTGTTGGATCTTGTAACATCACATTATTGAGTTGTTGTAGTGAGGTGAGTGGGTGAATCGACAATGAAGTTGGCCTCTAAAATTCTGAAGTGCATTTTCTGGACTCTCCTAAGGGAGTACAGCGTGTTTATTCTGCTCTTTGCATGTCCTCTGTTCTCCGTGCTGGGATACACTGATTTCCTCCTTGGCTGTGTTCTGTTGTATCTAGAGCCTGACTATTTTTGCAAGAAGTGCTAAAGGTTCTTGGTTGGGGTGACTGTGAAAGGTGAGTGGCACAGCCCATGTACCAGTGTTCCTTTTCTTGCGGAAATGAAGTGTGAGTACAGTGAGTGTGTGTACCAGTTGAATTGGGGCCGATATCATGGTCTGTACTGCTCATCTTGATTAACGCAAGTTTGTGCTTGAGTATACCTCCTAAAAGCACTATGGACACAGCCTTAGATGACAATTAACTTTGCACTGCTAGCCCTGTCCTTTAAATTGTGCAAGCACCTTTTTACTTCTGGAAACCTGCAGCAGATAGGAGACAAATAGAAGAGCAAAAAACCTGCTCTCTGTTTTAAAACAGCTTGAATCTATGAGGTTTAAGATTCTGATAAATGGGAAAAAATTAACGTACTGAGACTGGGAAGAAAGAAACAGTAGTTTGTGCTGTGACAGTCCATATAATGGAAACCACTCTAAACTAATACAGGCAAAAAATCATTAATTCTAAACATGTCCTAATAAGGTTTCTTAAGAAGTAGTGGTGTCCAGGTACTACCATGAAGGATGTTTTAGCACTGAGAAATTAACCCTTAGTGGTCTTTATTTTATCCTCTGAGAACACAATACATGTCTAGTTTGGGTGCTTCTCTGTTCACCGTAGTGTTCAGCCTCTGTTCCTGCAGTAAGAGGCTTGCAGGCTGACCCTCACTATGTGAGATGATGATCTACAGACATAGGGGTTATTTCTGTATTCATGCTACAAGTTTGGGGGGTTGTAAGCAACTATACATTTAACAGCAGCGTCATTAGTTTTAACATGTTTGTTTCTTGGCCTGGAGAAACAGAAATGTTCTGGGTGGGATTTTTAAGTGTTCCCAGCTGGCATCATCTACCCTTGAAATGAATGCTGAAATGCCTAGTAACTTCAAAGGGGGAGAGATAGGACAGTCCTGATTCCCTTTGAAATCTCCTTTCTTAACATTACTGCAGATTATTCACTGGCATATATAATGTCCACAGCAGTGAAAATGTGTCAGTCACAGACAGGAAGGTCAAGTTTAAGTCCAGATTGAATAAAAAGTCTGTGATGGATTCTTGATACCAACTAATTGTTTTTTAATAAAAGGACAAATATTAACATGAATACTTGTTTACAGAATATGTTTGGTGGTTTGGTTTTTTGAGGGTTTTTTTGTTTGAATTCACTAGGCTCCATCATAACTGGTTGAGCTCTCGTCATTGGTATTGTAAAAAGGAAACAGTGAGATGCAGGCTTGTATTGAATACTGTGCAGTCCAAGGTACAGAACTTGCAGAGATTTTTTTTCTTCACTAAAATTTGAATACTGAGAGTGGCCTGTGTGAGGACCACTCGAACTATAAAAGCTAGATGCTTGCAAATTTCTACAGGATTAGTGCATTCAGCATTTGCAAACAGTATTCCTTTTCCACTGGCTGTTGTGCAGTTAGAAATAGCACAAGATTTCAATAAAGGCACTTTAACATGTCCTTGTCACTGGTTACACTGATAAGTGTTCCAGCAGTGTGAAGTGAGCTAAAAGTACAGTCAGCATGAGTAGGGCATAATGTGTCACTCTTAACGGTGGGCAAACAGCAGTTGTTCATGAAAGTCTTATGTTTGACTAAGCATCTAAAAGGTCAAACATTTCTCCAAAGTTTCTGTCCTCTGAAGCAGTTATATCTATCGACAGAACATAAAATTAATTAATTAATTATACTGAACATAAAACAGAGCTGCCAAAAAGTCACAGAAAAGCTGAAAAAGCCTGTGAAAAACAGGTACAGCCATTGTGTTCTTGTACTATGCTTGTCTGTCTTTAAATTTAATGACATATTTAAAATAAATCTTTTTCTTGCTGAATTTTCAAACCAACTTTGTGCACTGCTACCTGAGATACAAGACAGAAATCTATCACTTGTTTCTAAAGCAATTAGCAGGCCTCCAGTGTCAGAGAGCTTTGGGGAAGAAGGAGAACTCTTGGTTTATTTAGACAGATTTACTTGGTATCAATATATTAAAACAATGAACATCAGAAATTATTAATGAAAATTACTTTTTGTCCTGGCAAACAGGAGATCTTAGACTCCATGTGCCTTATGAAATGTTCCTGTGTACTCTCTCTAAGATATTCAGCCCCGTGGCATGATAACAAATGAGTATACGAAATCTGGTCCTCTGAAAAAATAGCCACTCTGAGAATTTCCTCTCTTTGCTTTTTTTTTAACAAATATGAATATTCAGAAGGTCTTTAAATATAAATTGCTCGTTTCTAGAGTGGTTTTGAGATGGGTAGAAGGGGGCGGGGCTGGGCTTTTTCCGTACTGTAATGAAAAAGCATGGTCAGCAGATGGCAATGTTGCATAGTTATTCCAACAGCAGACAGCCACATCAGCAAGGGAGGGAAACCTCTGATACTCCTTAAGTAGCCATGAGGGAAAATGTAGTGTCCCCTGCAGGCCATTGGAGAGTTGACCATTCAGGCATACTTTGGCTGAATGCTAATGTAGGCTTACTAAGTTTGCAATACCCTTTGTAACAGCAATTCAACACTGAGAACCCCTCATTTGAAAGGGCAAGACCACTATAATTTAGGAGCAATCTAATTAAACTAGTGCATTTCCATATTCTTTTAAAAACATGATTTCATAATACCACATAAGTACAATGTGTTCTTTCCCATACAGATTGCATATTTTAAAAGGTGAGTCTGATGCATTTTCTTTTGCTGAAATTCTGCGTGACAATTTACCCGATCTGTTA